GGATTTAGAGCAGCAAATCAGTGCTGAGAGTGGAATAAAATCCACGCGTGAGTTGGGAAAATACTTGGGAATGCCGGTGCTCTAAAAACGTATAAACAAGGAAACATATGGAGAAATTCTCGAAAGAGTTTCCTCGCGTTTGGCAGGTTGGAAGAGTCGGGTCTTAAGCATGGCGGGAAGGCTTACTCTAACCAAGGCAGTCTTATTTTCCATCCCAGTCCATTCGATGAATTCAATAATGCTCCCAGTAGCTACTTTAGCGAGTTTGGACAAGACGGCGCGGATGTTTCTTTGGGGCAGTACACCGGAGAAAAGAAAGCAGCATCTAATTTTCAAGAAGAGAGTTTGTCGACCTAAAGGGGAAGGTGGTCTAGGTATCCGAACTGCAAAGGAGATGAACATAGCGTTGATTGCAAAGGTGGGTTGGAGGTTGTTGCATGATAAAAAAAGCTTATGGGAACGGGTCCTCCGAAGCAAGTATAAGGTAGGAGAGATTGATGATCAAAGCTGGATGCAGGTGAAATGCAATTGGTCGTCGACCTGGCGCAGTGTGGGTACTGGTTTTAGGGAAGTGGTGGTTAAAGGAGTTCGCTGGGTACTAGGAGATGGTCGTAAGACTTTGTTTTGGACTGATAAGTGGCTTGCAGATCGACCGCTAGCGGAATCAATTATTGGAGTTCTACCAGCAGGGATGGAGAGGCTGAAAGTTTGGGATCTATGGCGGAATGGTTCAGGTTGGTTGCTGGACAGAATCACTCCTTACTAGGATCGGACCCCCGGTCCACCGCGGGAGAATATTGGTTTACATACGTTACGTTTAATATTGTGTGTGTTTTTAGTAGAACGAATCGTGTAGTATACTTATAAATATTCATAATAACGAATTGTAGAGAAAATGTAAAATTGTTTATAAATATACCCATCGTATTAATTATGATTTACAAAATAGAATTTTGTGTTTTAAAATTCTAAAATTAGACGATTCATGGGAATTAGAGCAGTCAAAATAGGTCAAAAACCGCGGGTCGAGCCCACATCATCTCACTATGGGGCAGATTTGGGAAAATATATTAAACCCGCAAATAAGCGGGCCACATGGTCATAGGTTTAATCGGTTTTCATCCGCGGGTTGGCGGATCAGCCCGCATATTAGTATTTATTGATAAAATTATAATTTATTCAACATGTGGTAATTTAAACAAACTTTTAATAGTATTTTGATTTATTTATTTATTTTAGTAGTATTTTAAATATTGGCTACTTTAAAATTATTTAAACAAAATCCATGGACAATTCCGCAAATCCGCATACATTCACGGGACGGGTTTGTATTTCATATATGCTACCCGCGGGTCGTGCGGACCGGCTAACTACAAGTCAAAATATTTTTTGTCTATCGCAAAACGGATTTAACGGGACGAATCAACTCGCTTTGACAGTTCTAATGGGAATATTATTTAGTCATACAACAAAATGAAGTTTGGACATAGTAATAATAGAATATGTATCTTATTTGGTAGATGAGAGATTGAAAGATAAAGTATAATGATTAAAAATTAATTATTATTTTTCATGATTCACAAAATTTAATAAATACTTATCATCTTGTTGAATAATTCTAAAATCATATTCAAGAAATCTTTATAAATTGAAAATTAAACTTCTTTGGTAAGCTATAGGTATGAAAATATCATAATTTCGATTTAATCTAATTAAATTAAAATTAGTTACATGGATTTCATATCTATTTAATTTACACGACCAAAATAAAAATATCTATTTAATTTACACGACTAAAATAAAAATATCAATTTAATTTATAAAACAGATGGGTTATTTGTGATAAATTTTCTAGAAATCTTTAAAAGCAAGTAAAATATCTTTCAATTAATGATAATTGGCTAAAATGAGCGAAATTAATGACAAAAACGTTGATTGTTATGGAATTAGTTCCAAAAATATACGAACAAATTTATTATACGTAATTAATGTATAATATTGTTTGGAATATGCTTTTATTATTAGTTACCATAAGTACAATCAGATTTTATTTGATTTCCATAAATATTTGATTTTATTTCGATTTTTCATTATTATTTCGAATTTATATTCCAAAAAAATTTCAAAGATCCGATTTCAGAATTTCAGGTCAATTTTCTGATTTTAACCCGACCCATTTTCATTTGTACTTCTCTTTTAATAGTGTAGAGATGTTTCTGAGAATACGCGACTAGAGTTGGCGACGGTGGTTCTAGATACTGTTACGGGAGCAAGGGACAGACTTGCTTGGGGTGGCAGCCCCGACGGGAGATTCTCGGTGCGAGCTGCGTATGGTCAGGTGACTCGGGATGATTCACCACTTCCAAATGTGGAAGTCTTTTTCCGTCGGGTATGAAGTCTCGCTGTACCGGAGCGGGTAAGAATTTTTTTTTGGTTGGTAGGTAATCAAGCACTCATGACAAATGTGGAGAGGAGCCGGAGACATTTATGTGAGTCGGATACTTGTCAAGTGTGTAAGGGAGGTGCGGAGTCTACCATCCATATCCTTCGTGACTGTCCAGCCATTGCAGGGATTTGGACCAGGATTGTTCCTAGAAGAAAAAGACATGCGTTCTTCACAAAGTCGTTGCTAGAATGGGTGTATAGTAATTTGTGTGATGATAGATTGGTCGAAGGGGTTCCTTGGTCCATTATGTTCTCCTTGGCGGCGTGGTGGGGCTGGAAATGGCGTTGTGGCAATATTTTCGGTGAGAATGGGAAATGTAGAGATAGAGTTCGGTTTGTCAAAGATCTTGCAAGAGAGGTTTCGTCGGCAAATCTTACCAACGCGGGACAGAATTCCAAGCGGGCCCGAGTGGAGACAATGGTAGGTTGGGTTCCTCCACAGGATGAATGGATGAAGCTTAATACGGATGGAGCTTCGAGAGGTAATCCCGGTTTGGCTACTGCTGGAGGAGCCTTACGGGATAGGGATGGTAATTGGTGTGGAGGGTTCGCAGTTAATCTTGGGAGATGCACTGCACCGCTAGAAGAATTATGGGGAGTGTATTACGGTCTCTATATCGCTTGGGAGAATAGAGCTACAAGGGTGGAGTTGGAGGTGGATTCAGAGTTGGTGGTTGGGTTTCTGCAGACAGGGATTAATGATTCACATCCGCTGTCTTTCCTGGTGCGCTTGTGCCATGGCTTTATTGCAAAGGACTGGATAGTCCGAATTGTTCACGTGTATATGGAAGCTAATCGTCTAGCCGATGGATTAGCAAACTATGCTTTTTCCTTACCGTTGGGTTTTCATTCTTTTGGTTCCGTTCCTTTAGAACTTGATTCGATTGTAAGAGACGACGCTCTTGGGTCTACACGACCAAGACGAGTTCCTGTTTGAGTTTGTTTTTTAATTTTAATAAATTTGGGAGACATTGTCTCCCGATCACTTACAAAAAAAAAAAAGAGACGGTCTAAAATAATAAAAACAAAAATTATAGGAGAAACACTAAAAAAAATCCCCCATACATTTGGCCAAAATCAATAATACTACAAACAGACTTGCTTTTTTAATATAGAAAATGGAATTTAATTAGCTATTGCAAGAAAAATAAAATAAACTTCTGTTTACGTAAATGATTTATAATGTATAAAACTTAGATAATTATTTAAAAAACGTAGAGGGCTTAGTTGTTTAATACTAATACTTTCTAGTTTATATAATAAAAGTATTAACTGTGATACCTAATAATTTACCTAATACGGCTTGATAAATTATGTGAGTGAGAATAAAAAAAAAAGATATTTGATTTGGATGATGTTGACTTCCCCAGCTGTATCCCTTCCCTTTCTCATTTGGTTCCTTTCCTTTCCCAGTCGCTTTCCGTATTGTTTTTGCTCTATACATCTATCACAAAAAAATTCTATTGGTAGAGACATTAGAGAATTTAAAGTTTTAATATCGCTAGAGACGAACACTATCTCTGCTCATTCATCTCTTACTAAAATATGATTTATGTGTTAGATTTTTTCCCTTGAAGATTTTTTTTTATACACATATAATAATGTATAAAATTGCATAAACATGATGTATCATAATATTGACGGATTTTGCAAAATTCCATCATGTAAAGGCAGGTATTTTTGACAAAAATAGTTGAGCTTATTTGTATCATTTAGAACATTGAATAGAAGATCATACGGCTTTCATTTTGAAGAAAATATAGCTAGCAAATAGTGACAGTAGGCCCGAAGTTAGCTAAAAATATAAATATTTACAATAATGTAAACGTGGGTGTCTCTATAATTTGTCGAGTAGGACCGTCCAACAATGATAATAATATTGATCGGACGAGAAGCTGAGCATATCTGTCTCCATACCTCTAATAACACAACTTCACGTCATTACTAGACATTTGTTTATAAGACAATGATTATGCAACTTCATGGGCAATTCACTATTTTTACTAATTTATATATTTTTTCTGTAGTACCCATTATATATAGATATCACCAAATTCAACTCACTTAATTTTTATGTGTTTGCCTTGAGAGAAGCTGAATAATATCGACAATTTGGGAGCCAATGCATTTATATCGAGGGCCAAGAGAAACATTTTGAAGATGGGATTTTTAGGCGGTGAGTTCCAGTGGAGCAACGTCACTTTCGGGACATGCACATGAAAAAGATGAGTCTATCACGCGTACTATGCACGTGTGACCATGTTGAGACAAAAATATTTGTGGCTCTATCTTGTGGTCTATTCATCTATGACACATTGTATTGTCTCTCTATGAATGGAAAATGTGTTCAACGGTTCAACACTTGGAGACTACTAATGGGAAATCCACTGTAAGTTTTAGGCCAAACCATCAAAAATACAATTTGAAATAACCAAGTTTTCTACGTAGCGGAAACTTCTAAACATAGACTAGTAACCCGTTGATTCTTGGAATACCGATAAACTAGAGTAAAAGTTGCGCGTTTAGCGTGTGAGAATCTCGATAGAACTTAAATCTACACAACATCAGTTTTGGGCTTTTGGCCAACAAAGATTATGGGATTCTACAATAAACGGATATGAAGATCGTAAAAACCCGTGAAGACTTTTCAGCAGTTACTGTGGTAACCTATCAAGATTTCTAGAAGAGGACCACTCAATATTTGATTTGTAGCTGAGAGAACAGAGACTGACATAAAGTTTTTGTTCCCATCACCATGACCCATGTCAGAGTTTCTCGAGTCAAATGGTCAAACCATAGTTGATAAACTTGAGTGGAAGGGTCAAAAAGACTAGCGTAGAGGATGTGGTAGAAAGATGATTGATATGTACTTCCAAGCTTTTTGTGCTGTGATAATATTATCATCATATATTTCAGTTTTCCTTAGCCAAACAGAACAATTGTGTATTTCTAAAGGGAAAGCATCAAAGACAGAAGAAAAGGTAAGCACACATCTCGTAGTTCTTGAATTGCGATGTATAATGTCAACGACATTCACTGATTCATGAACCGGCATGACGGAAATAGAGAACCGAGCGGTACAAAGCAGCAACATGGAGGAAAGCAATCAGTGCTATGAGTAGATCATCAAGCAAACCGACTATCCCCAAAACTCCTAAGGAAAATTAGTTAAGAAGGATTTGTGAGAAAACAGTGAGACAAATATAAGATTCATAGGATTAAAAAGATGAATCACCTTCTGGAATGATATCTATTGGACTGATTATGTAAATAGCACTCAGAATCATCTGCATTCAATACAAAGAAACTGCGTCAGTCCCACTCCAAATGGAAGAGTAACAACCCAAAACATGACTAATCTTTGTATAAACAAAGAGATCAAGATGTAGTCGAACTTAACTGCGATATAAACCCGAGCCCTAATGACAAGTGGAAGCGTTCTTTGTGGATCCATCATTTCCCGTAACAACCTCCGTAGTAAGAAGGGAAGGTCTTGCATCCTCTGTTCAAGGGTAAAAAGAATTTCCTTATGATTTTTCAAGTTAACTAAACTTATGGGTATTCATGAAATTCAAATATATCTCAAACAAGTAAAACATAGAGATAGAACTCATACCTGAACTAAACTAGTTGAACGGCCGCCAAAGAGTCGGTTATACGTTTCAAGATTACCAAGAACATCCGCAACTGTACTGTCATTCCGGTCTCTGATTGTGTCCTCTGAAGGAACCAACAAACTAATAGGACGACGACACAAAGGGCATTTACATGGCTGTAATGTAGATCCATGCCTCCAAACCTGCATAATGCAATTTCCTAAAAACAAATTGAAAAGAAAAGTTAGAGAGACAGATCACATGAAAAGCAGTATTATTCGTTGCAATGAATTCGTAATTAGACCAGTGAACTTGAAGAACCTAGTAAGCCAAAAAATCTAAAGGCTATAAATATACAAACTTCAAAAGAGTAGATAGTTGTTAAAGACATTAAGCAGGAAGCAAAAAGTCCGTGACTCTGAATTCCATTGTCAACCAAATCCAAGAATCTGTATCGAAGTTTGGAAATTTAAGATTACAAACTTATGCTGTTTGGATTCTAAATGCAAAATACAATCTCTAACCAAAAGCAAACGATCAGGAGAGGTCGTAGGCAATAACAGTTGATGACAAAAAGGGGAATAAATTCAGTCAAATATCTTCCGATCTCATTGAAGCGAGAAACCGAATCAAAGACTAGAAATGATTGAGAGAGAAAGAGAGGTAACCGCAGAACCAATGAGAACAATTGGCTTGACAAGGAGCGGTGAAGTGGGAATGACATATCGAACAAAGATCGTTCTCCGGTGGACTATTCATCTCTCTGTTTCTTCCGTTTATTCGTCGTCGTCGTCGTCGTCAAAGATTAAGTGCTCGCAGGTTTTTTTTAGTCGGTAACTATGTCGGTCCATAGGAACTCTGATTGGTTCGATATATTTTTTTAATTATTGCTCTTTCACATGTGGGACCCGCTCGGTTATTTCCGGTTTGCAAATTTTAAACAAGAAAAACGACGTCGTTGACTTGTGAATCGAAATTGCCCAAAGGATTCTTGTTGAGGTTGAAGAACTAGAATGGGTGATTGATGATGTAACATTTTGGATTCAGTTGTTCAAAACCACTGAGGAAGATACAGTGATTAAAAAAAAAAGAAGGTTTTTACATTTGACATTATCTCAAAAGACTCTTGTCTTTGCAGGTTTAGAAAACAATTCAACAGTCATTGTGTGATAATAGCTCTGTTTCTGAATACCCCGATCATTGGATGTGTTACTAACTTCACACTTTATCGACATTGTCTACTCCTCTGCAGCCTGCAACAATAAGAAAAAGGAAAAGAGAAAAGATTCAACCTTATGTTCGTTTACATTCTCATGGATTTAAGATGATCCGTTCGTCAAGCGAATGATGTATTTATACACTCATATACAATGATCATTCAGGAACCATTAGCACTCTGCACTAGCCACCACCCGCATTTGCAATTTAACTTTTTTTCTTCTGCTTTTTTGCGCTACTCTACTTAATTGCACATTACAAACAGTGGAAGTTACAAGAGGGAACTACTCTATGAAAGGAGGATAGATATCTAGTACTCTGTGTGTTGTTCTTTACCAATTCGTAGTTCAATAGCCATTACTACAAGTACGACACAAACACGCATGTATTTGTTTTTCGAAAAAACCACAACTCTAAGACAATGCTCAGAATGTGGAAATAGTGTACTATAGTAAGGATGAAAGTAAGAATGAAAAAAAAGATATATGTGATACCAAATTATAAAGTTTAACAAAAGCCATGCTTAATCATCTTCTCAATTTACTTTTAACCATAGGCAAAGATGTTGGTTCTAAACTCGAACCATTATAATCTCGGCAATCTCTCTAGCATTCGCTCCCTAGTATCGATTTTGTACCAAACTAATGTATTGATTCCCTCAAAGAGATGCATTTGCCAAAAGAGATTCCAACTAACCTGAGATACAGGAGAAGTCTCTGTAGTATCCTTGGGAGCTGCTAAATTGGCTGAAGATGAAGAAGGTGCATCAAAAGATCGAGAACAATCGGTGTATGCAGAGCCAATACCAATTCCAGCACCCAAAGCTATCGATGCCCATCTTGTAACAGGACTCCCTATACAAAATCAGAAACTAAGATATGAAAAAAACGAATCTCAAGGCAAGTAATATAATTCAAGAATCAGGACAATATATCATTCAAACTGCAGAAATTAAACACTCTAAAACCCTAATCCGTAATCTCACTACGTATCTATCATCGAACAGCTACAAGTAATCAGAAAACGAGAATCAAGTAAGGGGAGATTGAAACACCGAACTGAAGAACAGAAGACCGGCGAATGCGCCGCCGAGGGAAGAGTAAACGAAGCGGCGGACAGTGAGATCGAGACATGCATCCCACTTAGCATTCACATCGTACTCCGGTGGCAAACTACCATTTTTCTCTGCCATTTTTCGCGAAACCTATCCGATTGATTGATCGTTCAGAGTTTTTACTCTTCCGTTGTTCGTGATTTCCTTTTTCTCGACTTTACCGATCTATTTAGCGCAAAACATGGGCTTGAAATTAGGCCCAATCGTCTGTCAATTAGATCCAAGTTTCTCCAATTAGGCCCAAGCCCGAAAACACTGGCCACTACTAAGGCTGTTTTAAAAAAAAAATCTGATCGAGTTCTGTTTGGTTTTAGATTTTTTTTTTTTGTCGACGTTTGGTTTTAGATTTTTATTATTTCGGTTTTAAAGTATTGTTTTGGAAAATACTGTAACCAACAAAAGTATGTTTTAGAAATCTAACCGAAACAAAATGGAATTTTTACAGTATTAGTTCGATACGTAGACCAGTGAAGGTGTCAGGAGGATGTCCAAAAGAGACATAAAAAACAAACGATCTAAAACCAAACATATGATTTTTCACGTGGATCTCTTCTGTTTTTATTTTTTTTTAATTCAAAATTGAAAGATAAAAAGGTATTCTTCAAATGTCATTGGATTCCAATTTCACGATTGTTTTGTCTTTGTCACACCAAAATCCTGATATTTTAATTTGGAATTGATGCTAAAACGAGAAAATTAATTAATCTTTTAATCAAAAACCCCAACCAAAGTTATGTCGCCTGGTGACGACAATAAGAAAACCGGTTCGATCGGCGTGACCAATATACCCTTTTTTGTACTTGGACGTCTCAACGTATTTTTGTCTCCACTTTCTTTCTATAAACCCAGAATTCACTTTTGCCCAATTTAGGAACAATCACAGGCACAAGTAAAAAATGGCGGAGGAACAACCTACTACCACTCTCGTTACACCGGAAAAGCTACCATCTTCGGACGTCACGCCTCCGGTAGAATCGGAGCCTACTCAAGAAGTTCTACCGAGAGAGACGGAAACTCCGGAGACTAATCCGCCGGAATCGGCAGAAACCACCACCAAGCCAGAAGAAGAAACCACGGCAGAGCATCATCCACCGACAGTGACGGAAACTGAAACGGCGTCGACGGAGAAACAAGAGCTTGGAGACGAATCATCATCATCTCAAAAGGAATTAGCTGAAGAGAAAAAGAGCATGATTCCACAGAATCTTGGTTCATTCAAAGAAGAAAGCAGCAAACTTTCCGATCTATCAAACTCCGAGAAGAAATCACTCGATGAACTAAAACATCTTGTTCGAGATGCTTTAGACAATCACCAATTCAGCTCAATCCCTAAACCAGAAGACACCAACAACACACCAGAAGAAGTCAAGATTTGGGGAATCCCGTTGCTCGAAGACGATAGAAGCGACGTCGTTTTACTGAAATTCCTAAGAGCTAGGGATTTCAAGGTGAAAGATTCGTTTGCTATGCTCAAGAACACGGTTAAGTGGAGAAGAGAGTTTAAGATCGATGAATTGGTTGAGGAAGAACTTGTGGATGATCTTGACAAGGTTGTGTTTATGCATGGACATGACCGAGAAGGTCACCCTGTGTGTTACAATGTCTATGGTGAGTTTCAAAACAAGGAGCTTTATAATAAGACGTTTTCTGATGAGGAAAAGAGGAAACATTTCTTGAGGACTAGGATTCAGTTCTTGGAGAGGAGTATAAGGAAGCTAGATTTTAGCTCTGGTGGGGTTTCTACTATTTTCCAGGTTAATGATATGAAGAATTCTCCGGGCTTGGGGAAGAAAGAGCTTAGATCAGCCACTAAGCAAGCTGTTGAGTTACTTCAAGACAATTACCCTGAGTTTGTCTTCAAACAGGTACATTTTCCCCATGGATCTTTTGTTTACATGGTTGTGAATTTGCTCTTAAGTTGGAGTAGGTACCAGATTAAGACATGTTCTAGTTGAATGTTTTGTTGATCAATATTTCAGGCTTTTATCAATGTTCCTTGGTGGTACCTTGTGTTTTACACTGTGATTGGTCCGTTCATGACACCAAGGTCAAAGAGCAAGCTTGTGTTTGCTGGTCCTTCACGTTCAGCTGAAACACTTTTCAAGTAACTTTTGAAAGATTTTCATTGATTCCGCTTGTTTTGTTTCCTAAGCTATTCTATGAACCTTTTTTGTTTAGTCGCTTGACTCTGTTTGAAAAATGTGGACTATAGATACATATCACCAGAGCAAGTTCCAGTTCAATACGGAGGATTGAGTGTAGATCCTTGCGACTGCAATCCAGACTTTTCATTGGAAGATTCAGCCTCAGAGATCACTGTTAAGCCTGGAACAAAACAAACTGTTGAGATCATAATCTATGAGGTTAGAGCATCTACACATTTAACTCTGTCAATTGAGTCATGAATTGGTTAGTAAAACCCTATGAAGTCTGATTGATTTCAAGTTTTTGTTGGCGTAGAAATGTGAACTTGTGTGGGAGATAAGGGTAATTGGATGGGAAGTGAGCTACAAGGCCGAATTTGTGCCGGAAGAAAAAGATGCTTACACGGTGGTTATACAGAAACCAAGAAAGATGAGACCATCCGATGAACCGGTGTTAACCCATAGCTTCAAAGTGAACGAGCTTGGCAAGGTTTTACTCACAGTAGACAACCCAACCTCTAAGAAGAAGAAGCTCGTTTACAGGTTCAATGTCAAACCTCTCTAAGCTTTAAAAAATCTTTTCCAAACTTTGTTTTATTTTACAAAAATGTGGTTTCTAGACTTTTGTTTTTCTTGAAACAGAAGTGAGATACGTCTTGTGTGTGTTTGTATATGTGAGAGTGTTTGCTTTATCATATCATATAAATTATGTGTGGTTTAATACGATGGAAGCTGCTTGTATCTTTTGCTCTTGTAATCAATCATTTGTGGAGAGAATATATTACATGACTTAATGAAATAAAGATCTTTAAATCTCAACAAATTTATCGATTGTGTGTCTGTTAATGAAATCAAGTGTATAAGACTTATTAGGTGTCGTGCAACATCGAAGTCTATTATATTCAATTCAAATAAATGAAAAAAAGATTCGTAAGGCTGTTGATTTACATGTTGGAACAACTTCCTCGACACTGACATAATGTTGTTGTCTCAAGACTGGAGTAGGTGGAAGAGGTTCGATTTGTGTCTTGTTTAACGCAAAATCTGTTGGCTCTTGCATCATTCAAATGCCAATTGTTTTCTTAGTTGAAATCTTGGATGTGATAATTCTTTTGTATGATTTTTTTATTTGCCAGCGATATTTTTTACTTTCTTAAGAATAAAAATCTTCGCAAAAACGAAAGAACGGTAATGAAAATTATTTCATTCTTTGACTTGATTTTTATGTCTAAGATCGATATATATTCAATATTCTTCAGATTTTTTCGTTTATGAGCTTGTCGGTCCGTAATCTCCTCCAATATCCGGATTTAGACTTAGATATTCTGATTTAAACATAACCTTCCGTATCAAAAAGAGATTGAACCTGTAACACGATCGAAAAACCAATCCTTTTGTACTACCACTCGGCCACCGCCAATTTGGTTAACAAGTAAATGGTTTGAAAGACGCAAACTCGTTGCTAACACTAAAAAAAAATGGTCAAATGAACAAATCTATAAGCGTATATACAAAATCCTTTTTCACATTCACACAAATATATAAGCAAACACCTACCTCTCTATTTATGGAACTGAAGTGATCAACCAACACCAATTATTGTAAAAGTGATATTTTATTATTTTTCTTTTAAGAATTTATATAAGGGAAAGCAAATAGAAAGTGAATGAGGAATTGATGAAGAAGCACATGCGACGACTAGGGCAGTAGTGAATATGTTCAAATTGCATTCATGGCTGTTTGTGTTGTGTCGGTCCACGCATGTCCCTTCCTTTTCTATTGTTTGATTATTTCTGCAATTTTCTTATAAAACTCCGAACTGTCTTCGGACCAGACATTATGATCACTCCCATTCTTTTACATATTATTCATTCATGTAACCATTACAAATTCCATGCTTTGTATTCATTCAATTTTCAAAATTGTTGGTGGATCTTGTTAAAAAGTCCAAATTCTAAATATACAATGTTGGCATTAATTGTGAAGTAACAATCAATTTTTGGTATAAACACTTTCTTTTTGTCTACAATTGAATTCGATTATGAATGTTTCGATTAAAAATGGCCAGTTTTAGTATTCCAAACTCATTTGCACATTATTTAAAAAAAAAAAAACTCATTAGCACATTCTCACCTAAGTTTTACTATCATTTTCAAAATGAATGACGTAAGTTAATGACCAAAAAAACTAAAGGACAATGACATGTATACACTTAGTTTATAATTTTAAGATGAAAAGATCTACGTTGATCATCATGGTAAGGGCCGTAGTTTATATTCGTTTAACTATTATTACTTTGATAAACATGCGGATTAGACATGACAAGTCATTTGATGTTAACTTTAGACTTATTGGATTAATGAGTAGGCCAATTAGCCATTATTAGTTTTCATTTGTCAACATTCACACCTATGCCCTGTTTTTTCTTCTTCTTTTGTGAATGGAGAATTAAGTGTATACCGGTCTCACTTTAGTCCGGTCCGCATCGTACCGATCAACCATTCAAGATATTCAATAAGATATTTATATTTAGGTCAATTCGAACATAAATCAACATATTCATTTATTACGAACGTAAACTAAAATTATAAAATTGTACGTACCATTGTTCTGTTGTGCTAAATCATATAACATGTTGAAGTCAATCTAGATGTGAATTTTCTGAACAAACTAATTATTAATTTTAATCCGATCTTTATGGGTTAATCCGCGAATTTCAACCTATTTCAATCTTTATTTTGATAGCTTAGAAAACAAAAAATCATATAACACTCCAAAGAGATTATCGTTTGTCTTTGCACTTCAACTAAAATAGAGTTTGCGGTTAATATCTTTCTTTCTTTCTCTGCCGAAAAAACAATTCTCTTAATGTCAAATATAATCCGTGCTTTGATTCCGTGATCCTTGTCTTATCCACGACTTATTAGTCCATAGTTCAACAAATAGGGAGGGTCCATTCTCATAATATCTCGTCCTTAATGTCTCATTCAGTGTTATCCACTTCAATCTAT